CCCCCCCTGAGCCCCCAGACCCCAGCACAGGGTCCAAACCCCCCTTGACCCCCGGCACGTACCCACGACCCCGACCACCACGTAGCCCACGATGGCCACGACCAGCAGGACACAGCAGACGATGTCGGTGCAGCCCCTGCCAGTGGGGAGAGGAAGGTTTGGGGACCCCGGGTTTGGGGACCCTGGATTTGGGGACCCCGGGGGGGTTCCACTTACCTGTCATAGATGGGACCTTTGAAAGTGGGGTCGTATTTCTGCGGCGTTCCTGCGGGCAGGGAGAGGGATGGGATGGGATGGGATGGAAGGGGCTCCTCCTCCTCCTCATCTCACCCCGGGGCACGCAGGATAAGGAGAACCGGGAGCAAAACAATCTCCAGACGCCGATTCCCTGCCGCGGAGCCGCTTCCCGGGCGTGGAAACAACCCCTCCCTTGGAAAACCTGTTTCCACGTGGTTCCGTCCAAAAATGCCCCCGAGCCGCGGCAAGGGAGACCCGAAATCCCGTGGAAACGCCGCAGAGACCCGAAATCCCAGGGAAGCACCAAAGAGCCGCGGGGGCACAGAGGGGCTGGGGTGCGGGGGGGGGGGACACACCCGGGGGTCCCGCAGAGCCCCGGAGCAGCCCGGGCCCCCCCAGCCCGCCACAGCCCCCCCGGCGCTCCGGCCCCGTCCCGCTGCTCCCGCTTTATTTTTAGGGTGGGAACTGAGCCAGCGCCGGCGCCACCGTGGGAGCCGCCCGGGGCTGGGGGGGCCGGGGCTTTGGGGGGGTCTTTGGGGGGGCTCGGAGCAGCCCCAGGGCAGGGATACATCTGGGTTTTGGGGGAGGTGCGTGTCACAGCAGCCCCGTGCTGGGGACACGCTCGCTGTGGGACATTTTTTGGGGAGCGCCGGAGTTCGCTCCTCTCGGGGCGCCCCTTTCCAGCCCCGGCCGAGCCCTGATCGCCAAACCCTCACCCCAGACCCCCCCAAACAGCGGCCCGGAGGGGTGTGTGTGTGTGGGGGGGGTCACTGCTGCAGGAAGGGGGGGTCGGATCGACCCTGAGGGACCCCCGAACCCCGATCCCGGCGGTGCCGGCGCCGCGGTGACGCCCCAGAACCGCCGGAGCCGGTTTTGTCCCGGCGCCGGCTCCGACCGCGACCGTCGGGCCGGTTCTGCGGCCGCCGGGGAGGGCGGCCCCCCCCCCC